GTACCTACGGAGCGGGAAGAAAAAGAAGAAGCGAAAGGCCGTCCGCGAGCTCCTGAAGCCTCGAAAAACGCTCGTATGCCACCATCGTGAGACAGATGTTCGAAGACCCCGACGGCCGGGAATTCTTTGAGTGCTTCCGAATGTCACGAGCCAGGTAGGGTGTGCTGCTTGTTATTTTGGATTATGTTCATGTTATATATCAAGTGGCGTTCCACATGGGCCCGCGCGTCGCTCGCAGGAATACTCACCTGGAGCGTGCGCTCCCGCAGTGAAAGCACGTTTATATCATTTTTAACGCGGCAGGATCACGAGAGCAGCTTTCGTAACAGTCACATGCTTGTCAAATTTTACTGCGTCTGTGCTATAAAAAGAATAGCAATGGCATGCACATGTGCAGCTCGTACGACACACTCTTTCGGTCTACTAAATCTGGTCACGGTGTTGTGCTCCTTAGAGTGCATGTATGAGGGAAGCCCGTTGTGCTTCCTTGTTCTTTGTGCTAGCCAGAATGTGTGCTTACAAGCTGCTTATGAGTGAATTCTGCACGAAAGCTCGCGCTGCAGAACCCAGGGATCTTGGGTTCCATCCCCACCCCTGCCCGTTTCGATCTGGATGAGCATCGTACCAGCAGTCGTTCGTGTTTCACTACTACGTGACGGGTGTTAAAGACCCTAGGTTAGCGGTCGTACAGTACTGCCTAAAAACTGGTCTACAGCGCGTACCAGTGTCGTTGACCTTTTTAAGTGTCGGATGTAGCTCGCACGCACAATGGTTGCAGCTTGGCACGTAGCCAGGATTTTTTTTCGGGGGGGAGGAGATTTTGTCGGTCGCAGAGTGCCCGAGGCTGGTAAAACATTGTGTATATATATATATATATATATAAAAAAAAGAGCAAATGAGTTGCTTCATTATAATTGTAGTGAACAAGCATGCCCTAAAAGCTGGAAGCTTAGCACATTTTCTTATTAACAACATCCCACTGCCTTTCCGGTCTCTTTGCAGCCAGCAAGCCAACCACTGCCTGCCTCTACAAACGGCCACTCATATTTGCATTGAAGATGCCGTTTCATCGGGTTGCAACCACCTCCCGTGTCTTCGAAACCGTGTCAATAAATTATTAAAAGCAGTATCGAGTTCTTTCACTTGTCCCGGTCCTTGTGGTCGCTACGATACCTGTCGTAGATCCAGGGATACCGCTGAACTAGCTGAACTAATCCATAGGCTTTCTCGGGTACGTCAAACGCAGCGGCACTCTTCTTTGCAGCTTGAGCGAGCTGCTTTCCTCGCGTCGGAGACGGGCGGGAAGTTCATCGCCGGAGCTTTCCTTGCAAGCAAGCACCGAGCGACTGAGGCATTCGCACGCGGAACCACGTGAACGCCGGTGGCAAGAAGGGCGGAGGAGGGAAGCGCGCCGCGCTGATTGGCCGCGGAGAAAATACGGAAACTTACGTCACGACCCGGGCAGGAGAAAGCTGAAAAAATTTTAACTCTTCAATCCGGGAGCCGGAAGCCGTAATTACGTCACCACCCGTACGGAGGGAGCGCTGACGTCACTACGGGTTCCGGCGCCCGGGTTCGCAGTCCGGGTCTGTTTGAACCGGGCTTAAGAGCTGCGCTATAAAACAGAGGATTAAGAGGAGGCAAGCGACAAGGCAATGCGATGTCAAGGCAGAGCGGCCAGGTGAGGGACAGTCTCTCCCAGAAGTCCTCGCGCGCGGGCCGGGGCGCTTGGGGGATTTCGCAAAAGGTCTATTGGCTGGCGCGCGTCGACGGGGATCTCATTGGCCGCTGCGCTCGTCAGTTTCCACGACCGCTCACCCCATGGCGCTGCGTGTCCATCAGCGTGCCGTTAACACGGAGCGTCCAAGGTCACCAGAAGAGCACGCGCGCTGTCCGGCGACGAAAAGTACGCAGCAGGCGGAAAAGGGAGCGGGCGAGCGGCTTGCATGTTTTCGCAATCACAAGTCATAACTAGGGATGCCGCGAACTTTTTTCGAATCGAAGTTTCGATGATCGAATCAAGCGGTTCGAAAGGTTCGAAAGATTTCGATTTTTCGAATTGTCTATATCGTAAAATTCGACGGAGGTCGAATTTTCGAACTTGTTAAGCTAAGAAGTCGACGCTTTTCGAACCGTCGAACTTATTACGCTAAAAAATTCGATCTTTTTCGATCTTTCGAACTTATTGCGCTGCAAGGTTCGATGCTTGTCGAACTTTCGAACTTGACTGACCAAAAATTCGATGAATTTCGAACTTTCGAACTTATTTATTAAGAGAATTCGAAAAGTTTCGAACTTTCGAATTCTAAAAAGTCAGAAGTTCGACAAACTTCGAACTTTTAGGGTGAAAGTTCGACGTTCGTCGAACTTCGAAAGACCGGCGGACGGTTTCATTTGATTTCAAGTAGTGGGGTACATTCGTAATTTTTTTTTCTCGAACTTTTACACGCGGTGCTGCGTTCCTTACGAAAGACATTGTCGTTTATTTCAATGTTCTGGCATGCTTAGGTTTAAAGAAATAAATCCCCGAAGGGGCGAGGAAGGACGACGGGTTTTTGACGATTATCGTTTGTGCCAGATTTGAAGCACGCTGCAGCCGGAGCTATTCATGGTAGATAAGTTATACTTTTTTAAGAATGATCTATGTATAGCCTAGGTAAGTGCCGTCTTAAGATGTGATTATTGTTATTCAACGTGAGTTTCGAAGAATGTCCAAACATGTACGTATCTGCATGCAATTATGACCTAAACTTGATATTTATTTTCGTCTAAGTTGTTTGAGGTATCGCATTTAAATTAACACCACAGACAGTACATATCATTGCCATCTGCAGAATACAAAATAATATATTTATTGTTTTTTCACGTTAAGGAATAAATTAACTCATGGGAGAAGATTTCTAGTAGTGTTCAAGTTCAGCACGTCATTAAAAGAAAACTTTTTTTTTTCGCTTCACGTTCCTGGGACGTGTTTTCTTTAGCCTGTACACATTTTGGTAAAATAAACTTGTTTCGAAGTTCTGAACCTCTGAATATGCAAGAATAGAACACTTCCGACGAATTCTTGATATTTTTTTTTTCTCCTGCTTTTTATTCCCGCATTTATTCTTTTTTTTTTTTTTTTCTTTTGTTACTATCGGCACAGGTGTTTAGGTCGAAAACACAGCTTTGAACTTCCGAACCACTAAGCATGTGACGAGCAGTGCCTTCTGACAACGAGTTTCTAACAATGACCATCTACGCAACCTTTTATGCAGTGAAGAGCGACATTAGCTATACATATGCATCAATAATTTCAGATTAAAATAAGCTCGACCACGCCCTCTTTCCCCGTATTGTTTTCTTGAACAGTCCGAAATACCTGCAAGGGGGAGAAGGAGGCTGAAGCCCCCCGCCCCCCCCGCTACCCTCTTTCCCCCCGTTTTTCCTCTTCCGACGCCACCTGTATGGTAGAACGCTCCTCGACCTCGAGTTCTGTCGGCTTTTGTGCTTTTTGCGAGGCGATTCCTCCGTCCCAGGAGATAAACCTCCAGGACAATTATAAACTTCACCGGATCGGATTACTACCAGCGTGCAAGGGGTGGCGAGCTAGTTTGCCAGGTCGCTTCACGGTTTTTCTCAGCCTCAACCTCCTGCTCGCCCCTGGCCGTTTCGAACTGGATGAGTCTCGTAAAACAGTGTGTTCGTGCAATCACTACTGCGTGATGCAGGTTAAAAAACCCCCCTCCCCCCCCCCCCCCCCCCCCCCGGGGCTGGCGGTCACAATTCTGCACTGGCAAATATTCTAGCACGTCCGGGACACTCGTCGTCTCATTTAATTGCCTGACCAACTTCGCAAAATCTAGATATCACACCCTAACTTTTCTAAACTTGATTTTGTGAAAACCAGTGAGTCGTGAAAACGCTATTTGAAACTGAAACTGTGGAAAAACTTGAAAACCGGTCTTCGAACTTTGAAAACTTGGATTAGAAAGAAATTCAAAATCTTCGAAGTGTTTTTTTTTTTTTTTTTTAATTTAGCGTTAAAAGAGAAGAATCGAAACCTTCGAACTTTTCGAACTTTATGCAAAAAGAAATTCGAAATCTTCGAATTGTTCGAACTTCATGTCTCTTAAAATTCGAAGCGTCCGAAGTTTTCGAATTTTGTTTACAAAGAATTCGAAATCTTCGAATTTATCGAACCTGAAGTAAAAAAATATTCGAAATATTCGAATTCGAAATTTTAGAAACCGTGAAAGCTTCGAAATTTTCGAATTCGAAACTCCGCTGTGGACGAAAGTTGCGAATTTTTCGAAATCGAACCTCGGTCGGTACGAAAATACCGAAAATTTTCGAAATCGAACCTCAGTTCGCTTCGCAAATATCGAAACCTTTCGAAATCGAACCTAGGGTGGTTCGCGACATCCCTAGTCATAACAAGTGCTTAGGTGTACCTCGAGCTTTTTAAACTGTCGGCGAATATACGTCTCTCTTGTGCTTATCGCACAGGCGAAAAACGCTGCGTCACTGGATGGTGTACTCATGCGCGGCGTCTGATATTTCGCGAAAGGGAGGTTCTGCGCATGCTCAGGACGTATCCCAGAGCGCAATAGGCAAATATGGCAGCGCCCGGAAGGCGGTTATTAGAGAGGCCTAAGGATTATATATATATATATACACACATACACACAGTCTTAAACACAAGGAAGGTCTGTTTGCTCCTTTTCAAAGCCAATAACAGCAAACAATAGTAGTATCCCAGCAAATGACGAAGCTCAGAATGCTATAAGAACCAACATTTTCATGTTCTGCAGGGACGCTGAGCATAACGTTTCACTTGCTCATTATCTCTTACACCTCTTTTTTTTCCAGGTTTATTCATATTTTGAACTTGGTCATTTGCTGGCATCCTGGTATTATTCACCGTGATTCACTGTCTGGTGCTCTGCAAAAACATTACCTGAAACTATTTCTTTTTATGAGGAGCGTTGAGTGTTACTTGCTCAACAGACCGCACTTACCTATTATCACAGGCCTCAACATTGTGATCGCGCCGACGATGCACGATCCCGTTCCGAAGCAGACAGCAAATTGGTCCAGATTTGCCACCTCCGCGTACAGAACAGGCACGAGGGTCAGCACGCAGCCCGTAGTCCAACCGTACACCGCAGCAAATACCATCTGACCAGGGTGGGAGCTGCAAGCGGGCATGAGCACCAGAGTCAGGGCCCAGAGGCCAAAGTTAAAGGAAACCCAAGTGCTTCTGGAAACGTGCTTTCGGTCCGTGATCAATCCTGAACACAGCCTCGCCACCAAGTCTGTCACCGTGAAAGATGAGATGATGCTGATGGCGTCCCACTTGGCTATGCCGCGATCTTCGGCAAAGTCGACCACGACGCTTATGTAGGTGGTCATGTTGGCGAAGGCTGCGAGGTGTGTCAGGGTGACGAGGTAGAACTTGGGCCTCGCCATGAAGATGAGTAAGGGGTCGCTGCTTGAACTGTGTTCCGTTTTGTGCGACGTGGAACCGTTTGCACACTGAGCAGGCTCCTGTTTCGGTTCGTTGGCAAGTTCGTCTTTGATATACAGTGATGAGAGATTCTCATTTGAGCACGTAATACCGAGCATCTTTTCTTCTGCAGCTATATCCTCTGAAAATTCGTTACATGAGGAGTTGCTATTTAGGCTATCCTGTTTGGCGTTGAAGGTTTCTATTGGCAATGCCTGCCTTCGTCGATTAGTCAATTCGGAATTATCTCGGAATGGTACGTTGTGGTTCCCACGGGCGTCGAGTAATGTAGCTGATGTGTTTCTTGTGCGTAGTCTTTGGATCTTCGAACCGGTCATTGACGAGCGCTGCGCTGGCGGTCGCTGGAGTAGAGCTGCCGGCGTTGAGTGGAGCATGATGGCGGCATACATGAGGAAGGCTCCTCTGAATCCATAGGTGTCGAAGATAAGTTGCGCTAACGGGGGGAATATGAGACCTGCGATTGAGAATCCAGCAACGTTGATGCCCGATGCTGCGGCCTTGTAACTGTGGAAATGTTGATTGACGGCCACGGAGGTAAGCCTAAGAAAGCCAAGGCTCGTTCCTGCACAGAATACCAGCACCGTAATTTACATTCGGTTGATGCTGCGTTCCACATTGTGAATCTTCTCTCGTGCATAAAGAATTACGTTCTTGTTTGCTATTTCTGTGTGTGTGTGAAAAATGTTTGTGTCGATTGTTGTTTAAAAATGTTTTGTTCGTAATAAAAAAAAAAAGACATGACCTTAAGATTTCCTTGAGATCGCCATAATTGTACTTTTCGGGCGTTCATCAGCATCTTCGGCTGATTTCCACCCATAAGGATGTAAAACTTTTTGGTGTGTTGAGTTGGAAACGCTGTTTGAGTACAGTGTTAAATCACAATTCTTGAAGTACTGAAAATTAACACGATTGGGAGAATAGCAAGGCACACATTGTTTCACCCTACGTCGGAGAGCCGCGGATGCTACCGTAATAAGGGCCAATCAAGCGTTGCCAAAACTGCAACGTGTTCGTCGTCTTTTAGAGCGCAGCTCTTAGGGGCCCGTTTCCGGCTTGAGCGGCGTCGGCGTCGGCGTCGGCGTCGGCGTCGGTGTAACCGCGCGGTGCATTATGGGTAAATTTCCACGCTAAATCTAGCGGAAAAATTTCCCCGCTAAATCTAGCGGAAAAATTTCCCTGCTAGATTTAGCGGAAAAGATTCCCCGCTAAATCTAGCGGAAAAATTTTCCCGCTAAATCTAGCGGAAAATTTTCCCCGCTAGATTTAGCGGAAAAAATTCCCCGCTAAATCTAGCGGGAAAATTTTCCCGCTAAATCTAGCGGAAAAAATTCCCTGCTAAATCTAGCGGAAAAATTCCCCGCTAAATCTAGCGGAAAAATTTCCCCGCTATATTTAGCGGAAAAATTTCCCCGCTAAATCTAACGGGGAAAAACGTCACGAAGGTAAAATTTGCTGACTAAATTTAGCAGAAAAAGTTTCCCGACAAATTCGGCGGAAAATATTTCCCGGGTTGAGTGCGTCACGTGTGACGTCACGTGAAGTCACACGTGACGTCACGTGTTACGTCATTAACGTCCCATAATGCAGCGCGCGGTTACGCCGATGGCGGCGGCGACGCCGCTCAAGCCTGAAACGGGCACGTAAGAGCTGCGCTCTAAAAATAAAAACAGGCGTTCGGAACAACATGGCCAGATGTCATCACTCTAAGCAAAGCGCATATGAAGGCACCCTACCCCAACGGGCTCTTCAAACCTTCGACAACTCTTCGTGGACTCTTGCACCTCGAGCGCGCGCGCAGCCGCTGCAGACAGGGGCCTCGCGAGCACTGGCACATTTGACTTGAAAGACAGACGCAAACACATCGTGGGGCGTATACTCAGCCGACACGACACTAGAGATCAGTGGTTGGCATCTCCCAACCGTCATTGAGATCAACTGAGTCGTCCGGTGTCACACGGTACATAGGCCTAGCAACCACAGTTGAGATGCGCGTCACAGCTGAAACCGAAACGAAACCAAAACTGATGTACATTACCTTTTTTTATTATTATTAAAGTGACGCAAATGAATTCTACGCACACTTTTTATTTATTATAAATGTTCAAAACAAAATAAAATTAACTTCTATGTTTTGTTCTTTAACTAAAGAAACGATAATGACAACGTTTCACTCGAATTAAAGAAAGAGAGAAATGAAGTCTTATCGGCTCCGACATCCCTATTGCCACCCTCGCCGCGAGCTTCGGCTTCCGCGACTGGCCGTGATCGTTCTGGTGGTAACTCTGGGCCCGAATCATACTTCTTCCAACAATATTTGCTGCTACGATACTTTTTAGATACTTAACCTAATCGTACGCAATATAAGTGATTAGCTGACGCTGGCCATGGGCCGCGAAGCGGCGGACGCCGCCATCTTGGTCGTCAGCGGCTAATGACAGTCAGCGCCACCATGTAACGCCGGCCGTTCGCGATTGACTCAACTGTCGTTGGCTTAATTACAGTTAAGAGCGCTAGCGTAACTAGGGTATACAGCCCCTCGATATGTTTGCGTTTGTCTTGCAAGTTGCGTCAAATGCGCCAGTGCACGAGGTCCGTGTCTCGAGTGGCCCTTGGATGCGAATGGCAGCTGAGATCCCTCTCGTGGCACGTGTCTTGTGCGTTTCCACAACAACGGTTGGCGGTACTTGTAAAAAACGCCTTTATCGAGGGGTTTTAATGGGGACTAGCACTGATTTCTATTGTAGTTGGCTGGATCGTGGATCGATGCGTCTTGATGGTGTCGAGTGGCACCATTGCCAGCCATCACTCGACACCAGCCAATGCATGGGACTCATATGGGAAAAAGGAGAAAAAGTGCCGTTTCCCCCATTTCTAAGCTGTTGCCGCACTGAAAATTTTTGGCTGCTTTTCGGGAAGCCTGTCAAATAGCTTGTGAACAAACAATAAAACTGAGAGCCCTCACAGTCCTTACAAATAAATGTTTTGAAGTCAAGAGTGACTCCGCTGGGCGAAAAATGTAGTGCGGCTCAATCAGACGAGAGTTACCTAGAGTTACCGCGGAGTCGGTGGCGGTTTTGATAAGTTGGGTTTATCAGACGACAAGCTTTTGAAGGCTTTGCTACGCGGAATTCGCTCACTCCCGGAAAGCCGCTGTCAACGTGAAGCTTTTTCGACATTCATCAACTTCTAGGCTTCCATGACGGCAAGTTTCTTTGTTTACTCCACGACGAGAGCAAGCTTGCCAGCTCAGCCATGGGTGCTCCGGCGCGTGTGACTTTTTAATGGGCGTTCGAACGCTCGACAAACATCGATTCGATCTCCAGACAGCCGATATAATGATCGTAGCACATCATAAAATAGTCGCATTTGAGCACCGCGTAGATGCTCCAATATTCCGACTTTTGCGTGTTTCTTTCATAGACTGGCCTGCATTTTTCTGGTGCCAAGCAATGGCCACCGGCGATGGCACCGGCGGGCTTCCGATCCCTGCTCCAGCCTATACTACAGCAGAGATCACTGGGGACTAGCTCCGATAGCGGTTAGCCGCGCTCGGACTCGGGCGCATGTGAAGTCCTTGGAAGTTTGATGCTTGACCCGGAATGCCGAGTGTCTGCTGGGTTTCATGGTGCATTTAGTTAATGTTTTGCTTCACGCTTTCTTGCCTTTTTACGTGGGTTTTAATAATCCCGTTCAATAATCAATCTTGAGAATGAGGCATTTGTACGTGGGGCATGCATACACTTAATCAACTAGAATCTCGAAATTTTTACACATCAAATGGCTTCCAAGAAGACTTCTCCGGACTGCTTGAACTCTTATTGCGCAACGAGCAGGCTCCCTTGATATAACAAAATCAAATCAAGCGCCTTGAACACTGTTTGGACCACCGCTAGTAAGAGTGGGAAAGCCTGTCAAGCGCTCGCTTCCGGGACAAAGCCGCTTACATCCGGTGGCTTCATACCTATTTCCTCAATGCGCCATCCAACCCCCTAGTGGAGATCAGTGGGGACTAGTGCCACCAATTAAGCTATGCTTCAGGGTAATGACACTTACCCATCTTGTGGCTTAAAATCATGGTTTCCAGTTATCTGAAATCACAGGAAACGTTGTTTTTTTTTGTCCTCCACATATGTTTAAACAGTTTGCGACAGAGCAAAGAAATGTTACATGACCTTCCTAAGACCAAGTCAAATGCTGAGGAAGCCGCACTGTTGAATCATGACGATCGACAGTTGCGTCTGCTCTGCGTGCGCAAGCACAAGATCGGCAGTTCCGTCTGCTCTGCAGCAAGATGGCGACGTCCACAACAATATCGGGGAACTAAGTGTCGATACTCTAAGCGTAGCTCATTTAGTGACTCTGATGGGGACTATTCAGCTGAAATCATTGAAGAGCGATGTCAGACCGTCAACTCCAACGGTGTTGGTGAAAGGGCGTGATGACTTTGAATTTCTAGCGTGTTTTTTACAGACACAATCGAAATTGTCACTGGTAATCAATATGCTTGGTCGTGACGTCACAGATGGGACCCATAAGGGAGCGCCACCGAAACATCTCCTCGCTAAGAGTAATTAACGTCCCACCTATGATGGAACGAAGTGTAAGGACCAGGTATTAATGCTATCGCAGCTTATAGTAGCACTTGACGCAGTACTTAAGCGAGACGATATTTTTTTTAAATTTATTATCCCCACTCAACGTTCTGATAGGAGTCAAACCACGAGAATTAGAAATAAATCACCTACCGTACATGATGCCAAAGAATACAACGAAGTGCCAGATTTTTGAAGCGAAATAGCAGGCTCCGATGGCTAAGGAGCCCAGGAGGCAGGCTGCCAGGAAAAGTGACCGGATGCTGAAGTGTCTGGAGGCGACACTTGCGACCAAACCTGTTCACATTGTGGGAAATAATCGTCTAGAGCAGGTTCACAAAGCAGCCGCGGCACGCGTTCAATAAACCCGAACTCAGGAATTACGTGAATGCGTTTGTGATCCACACAAAGGAGCGCCTCCGCATCGACTTTCGAAACTAAAATTTCAATGGTTCCTATTTTCAATACTCGCATTCTTAACCAAAAAAATGAGTCGAGCGCTATGTTCTAATCATCTGTGAAAAGCGTCCTTACGACCGTGGCTATATAGCGCTTAATAAATGCAAGAAATGGCGAGTCTCCGGTCATCTTATCGTTGTTTTTGCTGCCAGTTGCGGCACTGTAGTCAATAAGACCACCGGAAACCGGATCACGCACGAGGCAAGAAGTTTCAGCCGAATAAGTTAATGAGCCAAACCCTCCGTTTCTTAAGCTGTCGCTGCCAATACGATTAGAGGCAGATGGAGGCGTAGATTTTAAGAATAAATTTGTCGTACTCAAATTCGGGAAGTCATTAAGCCAGAAGCAAAAGCTTCAGGTCAGATCTCTTTCCCCGCGTGTCATGATGTCAGAGCTCTTAATATTTTGGGTTGCAGACATGCTAGAGTATTGTGGGGGGAGATGGGGGGAAGGGGGGAGCTGACAATGGGGTTCCGGCCCCCGTTATGTGCCATCTTCTCAGGTTCTCATTCCTTCAAGATCAATTGGCTTCTTTTTTTTTCCCGACCGCTCGCGTAGTTTTCTCATATTTAAACAAATATGAAATTTTATTGACGACCGAGATACTTTCTTTGATTTACTCATGTTACAGCATTTCGTATGCGCGACTAAAGGTTGCGACGTTGCAAGCGGGAGGTGCTTTTTGTGTTGCGGGGGAGGTATGTATACGCTGTAAAATTTTTTTGAGTAACTTGCATTAACCTTAACGCTAGCCTGCGCTAAATCTGGATGTGCCATTCTAAAACTTCATAATAGCTAAACGCACACACACACACACACAAACACACAAACACAAACAGGAGTTAAAACAAGAACAACAACGGGATCTGCAAACCGTGCAGCTCGGATCCCCCTACGTTATCTCAGGCATGATCGCACGACTGTCGAAACGGGGCAATGTTACCTGGGCCTTTGGCCAGGTAAAACTGTTTGAACGAGATCATAATATGCCAATGAGGAGAGCAAGTCGTCTGCCTCTTGTGCAGGAGTTGCGGTCACGTCAGAACTATGCCGGGATCTGATCGGCCTTGATTGAAAGGACAGTGGCTAGGGCCCAATGCTAGATGCCCCGAGGTCTACCCACTATTTATTTTTCGATCATCCAATAAGAGCTCGGCGTTCTGACATCAGAGCAACCCCTGTACAAGAAGCAGACGAACTTGCGCTCCGCATACGCCTACCCAGGGATCATCGCACAGGCGAAAAATGTCGAGTCACTGGGCCGTAGACGCATGCGCGGGGTCTGTTACTCGGGAACAGAGAGTTAAGAAAATTGGCATTTACTTTCACAAGTCCTCTTTGTCGTCTTCTTTGTATGTCGTCTTTGTTGCCTTTGTCTGAAGGTTTTTAAACATGAATGTGCACCAGCTCGCTCGCGTTTTGACTCTCAGAGATAATCACACGCAGCGACGCCATGACGAATGCGTCTCCCGCCTTGCAGCGTATTCTCGTCACGCGTCAGCTTGTTTGCCGCTTGAAGCGGGTCGGGGATCGTCTATAGTGATGGCGTCATGCGCAGACCCTTGGTGGAATGACAGAAACACGCCTAACCTGGCGGCATAAGCTTGGCATTCCTATAGGGGCCTCACTTGGGCCTAATACGGTTCTGCTAGGCGTTAGGAAGTGCCAGAGTAATGGGCGTTTCTGTAGCTTTTTCTCTGGCTCGCCAGATCACTTCCCAAAAAATCTCTGAACGCAGCACTGAGAGCGTTGCACCGAGGGATCTCTTTGGCCATGGAGAGGAGTCGCATGGTTTCGTTCTTGATCATTGATGACACCTTTGACGAAGTAGTGCATTTCAGCACTACGTGAAAATAAAGTCGGCGCTCGCTCGCATTGCACCCATTCATCTTTGTGAGATCCCCCGTTGGTACGCGGACCTCTAGCGGCCGTAAGGACCTGCCTAGGCCAGGCAAGGAGTAGGAGTACGTCCGGCCGCGTCCCATGGCAACCACTACAGAGGGCAGCGTTACCCTTTCGGCTCACGGATCCTTTAAGAAGCCAATGACATTGAGGAGACAACGGAACAGGATGACGGGCCCAGTGGAATCCTTCCATGGGCTATCCTAGTCCTTTGTTTACCTGCGGACAAACTCAGGCACGTCGGGTTCCCAAACAAACGCGCCACTGCAGTTTATACGTATTGGTAGGCAACACCTACGGTGCAATATGAATTCGCAGAAACTCATATATTAGAAAAGACAAGCACTGCATTCGGTCGTGACGGAATGTAGCGAAGTGAGGTTGGCCAAGTGGAACCGAAACTTAGTGGCCAAAGGGTTCCCACGATGCTTTTCCACTACGCCGCCAAGATAGCTTCGATCGTGCGAGAAGTCTACCCCCAAAGTGCCAGAGTTGAGTCAAAGACGCCGCGTATATATGAACCGGAGAACCAGCAGTGGAGCTTACATCTGGCACTTGTTCGGCGAATTTGGCGCCAAGTTGCCACATTAAAAGCACCGAAGAACTAGAGGTGAAAGCATTACCTTACACTGGCGCTTGTTTTTGAAATTTTAGCCCCCAAAATACCAACTGACAGCCGAATTACAGCAGTAAAGTCTAACTCTGGCGCTTTTTTGGCGAATTAGGGTCAAGATCGCCGATTCTCACCAAAGAAAGTCATGCTTGGCTCTATCCTAAAGCTTTCTTTTTTTTCGTTTTTTTTTTTTTTTTTTGGGGGGGGGGGGGGGGGGTTGTTTAAATTCTTAAATTCCTAGACAAAAAAGAAATGGCCCAAAGAACTACGTTACCTGCACGGCCTATCGCTAATTCGAAGCTCACCTGCCACCATATAGACGTTCGTCATGAGGCTGACGGGCCAGGACGCCTGTTCTCTGGTCACGTCGAGCGTCTGGAGAATGTTGACGTACAGAATGCCTGACGAGACGACCATGGCGCAGGAGAACACGTTGATCCAGCAGCAGGCACCCGCCACCAGCCAGCTTCTCGCAGAGTCCATCTTGCCCGGCGCGTCGAACGGCAGCTCCCGCGAGGAGGCTTCTTGAGCCATCGTGTTTACGGCGCTTCTAATCGTCGTGTCGAGATAAAAAAGGCCTGCTGGACGGGACAGGTATAATCGGAACGTTCCGGAATCTAGGTGTCCTAGATGGCGGGCCTAGGGTTTCGATTAGCGATGCGGCAGACGTCTACACGTTACTGAAATGGAGTGACTAAAACTGTTACTCGTTACTTACTCAAACACTAACTCAGTACGTTACTTGTTACTGCGGTTCAAGTGGAGCGCGCGTTATATCAACTTGAAATTAACGCGCGCTTTTTTTTCTTTTTTTTCTCGTTACCCCAAATGAGACGTTTTAAATCATGAAATGCTTTTTAACGCCGCCGCCCAATCCCAAATATTTGTCCGTCCGTCTGTCCGTCCGTCCGTCCGTCCCTCCGTCCGTGCACATGAATTCAGTTCCGCCGCTAAATTTAGCGGGAAATTTTATGTCACGTGACCTGACGTCACGGGACCTACGGACCACTTCAGTTTCCCCACAAAAAAATTAGAAAAAGAAAAAGGACATCCCATGACATATACACCAGTTCATTGTCTCGTGTACATTTGGCGGGAAAATTGATGTCACGTGCTATAAAACGGCGTGTCGGCTGAGACTCCGAGAAAAGAAGCACCGCCAAAGCCAGCGCACGAGTCTGAGCGGGACTCAAACCGCGACTCAAGACGCTCGCGCGACCCAGCCTTTGCAATGCTTTCTTTCATGTCAGCTGAGACGCTGTTTTAGAAAGCCGGCCCCGACGTCATGTGACTTATACGCCATTTCGATTTCCCCGCTAAATTTTGTGGGGAAATTGATGTCGCGAGACCCTGACGCGGTCACATGAACTACATTCCAATTCAGTTTTCCCGCTAAATTTGGCGGTTAAATTGATGTCACGTAACCTGACATCCGGTGAACTATACGGCGATGTAGTTTCCCCGGTAAAGTTAGCGAGAAAATTGAAAATTCCAAGTCCTATAATGCATTTCATGCATTATAATAGGACTTTGAACGTAAAGGTCGCTGACAATTGTTTTTGTAAGCAGTATAGTCGCTACAAATATTCGTTGTCGTTAATAATTCCTTGCTTTTCTAACGCGTTCGTTCGGGGATAGCTGTGGCTATACATACATACTTTGCGCACATCCTTTTATGTCGCGCAAATTAAAGGAGCGAGCTGGGGAGCAAACGAAGTTGGGTACTTGTGTTGTATGTACACGTTTCCCTTCTGAAGTTACTCGTTGATTCCTCAAATGTAACGTAAATATACGTTACTGTTTTTTTTCTTCTTTAAAACTAGCTAGGTTGTAACTTTGTTACGGAAAATAAGCAACTATAAGGTTCAAGTAACGCGTTCCGTAGAAGTCTGGGATGCGGCGAGCTTTTCTCGAGTCTGATATTCAACTGCGTTGGCAAACCACCGAACTTGAGGCGAAATTCGACGAAGTTCGGCTTCATAGACAGCTCTGCCCATCTTCTGTACAAGTGATAATATTTTTAGAGAAAATGTTGGTATAATAGCTTTTTTTTTTATCATTTATTATAATTTTTTTTTAGAATATTCATTGAACGTGTGTACTTATTTAGTCGGTTTGTTGAAGTGTTGCGACCTTTCCTCCGCCAGGCGGCGACAGCTCGCTCTAAATTTGTGCGCATGCACGTAATGGTCAAACTTCTGCCAAAGCTTTCGCGGAATTCGTAGAACTTCCGTCAGACTTTTTTTGTGGAAGTTGAAAGTTCGAACAAGTTCGAAACTTGGTGGACATCGAAAGAGTTCGACCAGTTTCTCACACTGCTAATGCATCTTCCTGCAGACACTGTTTGATGCGTGTCTTGTTCTTGTACAACGGTCGCATTGGTCATACAAAAACTGTCTGCAGAGATGTTCGTAGCACGTATGAAGGAAACGAGCTTCGATCATGCTTCAGGCGCACATGCTTCTGTCGTCCCGTCTCCGGCGAACATCGTGTCTTTTGTACGATGTGTTTGAGCCCTGCGGTGTGACTGCAGCGGCGGGATGTGGTGAAACTTGCCGAGGTTCAAATTCGACCAGGTTCGACATTTTGTTCGAACATTTAACGCAAAAGTTCGACAAAAAAAGATCGACTGAAGTTCGTCTATTACACGTTTGCGCGGACATTGACCTGTCGCCCACCCTGGCGGGGAAGGACAACAAACTAACAAAATCATAAAAAAAGGTTTTACTATGTTTGCTTTTCTATTTCATAAACATCGGTGTTCATTTTCTTCGGCATATAGACTAGTGTCCGATATCCTAGCCCCCAGCGATAAAAATGGAAATAATAATCTCAAACGCAGGCTCTTGTAAAGAGGGGGGGCTGTGCATAAAACACTATTTTTGCTTTTTACAACACTCTTGGCGTCGGAGCGGTTCTTGAAGCTTCGTGACTGTGCATTTCTTACGTTCTTCCACTATACTTCGTTTCACCTTATGTCCGAGCGCGGACGATGTTATGAGCCGAAGGGCGAATCAAACAGCGCAAAAAGCGCAACGTCATGGCGTTCTCTCTGCGCTTGATAGGACTAGCCGGCAGAGGAGCACGCACAGAGGAACGGCGAATACCGGCTATTCCTATCAACTGCAGAGAGCACACCATGACGTTTGCCTTTTTCGCTGTTTGATTGGCCCTTCGGCTCATAATATCGGCCGCGCTCGGACCTAGGCTGAAACGAAATATACGATATGGGCAAAGGTTTCTAAAAGAAACTGAGCCTTTCAAAAAACGCAGCCCCCCTTCTGTGTCATGACGTCAGCATAAACGAACATGGCGGCGCCCATGGAACAGAGCAGACACTGGTCTATATAAACTACCGTGAACGTTAATGTTTTCCCCGAAAGTTGACTTTTTCCTTTTTTTTTTTTCTGTAGAGGTCGGGCAACACGAGGCAAGGGTCGAATTTCGTCGATCTTGCCGAAAGTTCTAAAGTTCGTCGAAACTGTCGAACCTGGGGTTGTACGAAAGTTAGCGAAATTCCTAGATGAGGCGGACAGTCAAACGAGAAACTAAGCATTCAACTTTCGTTACCTTCGACCAGATTTCTAATTATTAAAAAGGTTTTTTTTTTTTTTTTTTTATTTACTGCTAACGTTAAAGCGGTTACTGTTTGCAAAAAAAAAAAAAAAGAAACAGAGAACCGCCATGTTGCTCCGTTGGGGTGCGATTGGGCGCGTCGTAATCATCGTAATCGGACTATATGACGCGCCCTATTACAACCCAAGCGATCAAGATGGCGGCGCCCTGATGCAACACTTGCAAACGTGTATAGACGGCGAAAACACACGCTTGAATTTTTTCTATTATAGTAAAGGAAACTTTGCAAAGCAAACTTTCGTTCATTTGGGTGCATGCGATCGGCATTTGTATGAGTGTTAATAAAAGTGGTTTCAAAAGATTTGTTCTGTATCTCTGAGCCGCGTTTAGTCCTCCCATCTGAAGCAGGGCGGAGAAAAGAAAGTCAAGATTACTTAAATCGTGACTTAAATAATGATTTTAATCCAGACTAAAATCACTGTGGTTTTACCATAATAATTGAAATCAGATTTTATCTTTTTAATTTATATTTTCTAATAAAAATGAAACGTTCATTAGGTGAGGAAGCTTAATATCTGAGTTTCGAGCAAAAAGCGGTGCAACTTTGAGGCAAGAAAGGGAAACAGAGGCGGCGACCTCTAACTAGCTAAAAAAAAAGAAAAAGAAAACATAAAAAAAGAAAATTACGTGTGCAGGCACGCATACAATGTGCGTACAAGAAATTACAGCACGGTTAAAACCTGGCTCGGCTATACTAGGCGCGACATGAGCTTGCCGCCCAACAAGCGAAAAAAAGCATTACCGTGGGTCTACTACTGCGCTCTAGTTCGAAATGCACTTTTCTATGCACCGCCGACACAGAATTACAAGACCAACGAGTCTGCAAAAAGAAGGAAGACTGGGCGTCTTCGTCCTTATTGTTGCATTTTGTTTTCTCTTGCTCTCTCTTTTGTCGAATAATAAAAACGCTTCTATTTAGTCTTTCGCACTTTAGACGCGTTAGAATTCGGTCGCACAAGCAAAGGCAACTCTGGTAACGTGTTCAAGAAACCAGCTCGGCTAAAAGATTTGAAAAAAAAACAACAAAAAACAAGCTTAATAATGAAAAAAGGAGTGTTGCTTCACTACGGTTTCGTAGTCGACGCGTTGGTTACCGACCTCTGTGAGTTCATAATAACGCAGAACGCCAGGACATGAACGGGCTGCCATGAGGGAAAATGTTTTTTTGTACAAAAAGAATAACAATGGTGGAAGGGCGACCTCTAGAAGTTGTGGCAAGGAAATGCGTTGTCGAATAGACCGGTTGCAGTAAATGGATGAATGTCCTGCTGCTCGGAGCGATCCATTGCACAGGATGTAGATAATGGTTTTCAGGCCGATACTTCATTGAACGCGCTTCGAGTCGACACGACAAGTGAGTTCTTAAGTATTTCATTATTATAAGATTGACTTATAGAGCCTAAAAATACTAATTCTTGATATTTAATTTGATTTCTTTATCCGTAAACGACGTAGTAGCTGCCAGACGTCACAAAAGGCAGCAAGGGAGCAAGCTGGACGTACGCCGGTCTGACATCAAGGCCACCTTTCCAATAAACATGTTTCTCTCTCTTTGGATTCGTTCAATGCTCAGACGTCTGTCAGCTTCAAACCTAGTTTAGACAAGAAAGTAGCCAGATTTGTTTACGCCACGAACATGTCCTTCCGAGCGTTTGCTCGTAAGGACATGTTGATGCGCACACACACAAACTGAGTGTAGCAAATTCGGAGTTTGTCACAATCACGAACATGCTGCGTTCCGGGCGCAAGCCTCCCTCCCGACACTTGGTAGAAAACAACTTGCTAGAAGTATACGCCGAAAAACAATCGAAAGCCTGTCTCCAGCTGCACGACAAGGTTGTCACCATGAGCATGGACGGGTGAGTCTAACGCAGAGCCTTATCTATAGACAGTTTGGCCATTCATTGGGAAGTATGGGAAGCAAATAAGAAAGG